TGGAATCCTATAGCACGTATTATTTTTTTCTGTAGCTTCTTCTGAGCAAAATTCTTTTGAGATTCTTCCATGCTGTTGAGTTCATCAGTAGTTAATTCCTGTTTATTGCCTGCTAGTATTCCATTGTACAGATGTGCCACGAATTTTTTATCCATTCCTGCATTGCTGGACATTAAGTTGTTTCCAGGTTTGGGCTACTACAAATAAAATAGCTATGAACATTTATGTAGACTTTTTATGTGGACATATGCTTTCATTACTTTTGGGTAAATATCTAGGAGTGGAATAGCTGGGTCATATGAAATATGAATATTTAACTTTTTAAGAAACTACTAAATTGCACCAAAATAGTTGTACTACTTTCCATTCCCACAACATTATATGAGTTCTAGTTGTTTTACATCCATACTAACACTTATCATATTACTTGTTTAAATTTTAGCCTATGGGGAGCGCGGATAAATTGGTGATGAAAAGACTTGACTTGGGTTGGTGAACACACAAAAGAGTGTACAGATGATGTGCTGTTCAATTGTGCATCTGAAATCTGTAGAATTTTGTTAACCAGTATCTCCCCAATAAATTCAATACAAGGGGAAAGAGGTAAATAAATTTTAGCCAATCTAATAGGTGTGTAGAAGTAGGTTAATGACTAATGATGTTGTCATATGGGTCCCACTGTGGGTTAATAACTAATGGCAAGCATATTTTCATGTGCTTATTTGCTATCTGTACATCTTCATTCATCAAGTGTCAGTTCAAATCTTTTGCTCATTTTTACTGAATTGTTTTATTATTCTTGAGTCTGGAGAGTTCCCTATATATTCAGCACTCATAAGTTCATCATGTTGACGTAAGCCTTAGGTGACAAAACTTTTAAAGTATATTCAAACTCTGTTAATGTAGTCAGCACAATAAAGAATTGCAATGTTTAAAAGTAACTTTTAATAGCTTAATACCATGCATCATGACATGTCTATTTCTTTAAGCTTTTATTTTAAAGAATTTTTAATAAAAATTTATATGTATTAAAATGAATTGAGATAACATAAATGACTTTGGAATGTGTTAAAAATTAAAGATGAATTTTATTTACTAAAGTGTATAAGCAGCCATTATTCACCAAGTCTGTGATCCAGTAAAAATTATTTGAATGTTGACTGTGTGCTTAGACACTGTGCTAGACCTGGGAGGTAATGCTCCTGCTGGCAAGGAGATGGATGACTGGGTAGAGATTATACTGAATGAATCATTGAGTTTGTTTTTTTTTGTGTGTGTGTGTGTGTGTGTGTGTGTGTGTGTGTTTTGTTGCTTTTTTTTAA